TATCAAGAATTTGCTGAAAGCCGATGAGAACAAGACCCAATTGCAAGATAAGATTCGTAAGCTCAAGAAGAAGTATGAGACCAATGTGGGCAAAGGGAAGAATGTTTAAGAAGATCAACAACACATGAATAATGATCTAGGTCTGGCTGAATAACATGTTTATTGATTATTGAATGGAAGTAACGTCAACCTTCTTGAATGAGATTGACATGATGACACGAAGAGAGCAAACACTCTAAATAGCCGTCTAAAAGTTGTTGAGATAAAATATTGTAACATCTTGAATAAATACCTAAAACTAAGAAGATGAAGTAATAATAAACTGAGTTGAAATAATACTTTTTCTTCAAAAGACATGTAAGTTAATAACCTAGTAAATATTTAAGGCATTAGCACAAGCATATGCAAAAGTTATGAAAAGCGCAATAACACGATAATGGGAAACTAACACCTTCGGACAAGAATCCGTACCCCAAGCCATAGCAGATATCGCACAATATAGTACTTATTGGGGCAAAACAAAAATGATCAGCTATCATTTAGGAATCCCCGCATAATGCATTCCGTCCAATCCAAAGTTATGAAGAGGCTTTTTGCACAAATGCAAGAAGCGTAGATAAAAGATGTTGAAAGAGCATTTGGAATACTACAAGCTCGATGGGTTATTGTTTGGGGCCCTGCACGTATGTGGTGCAAGGATAACCTCAACTCAATCATGATGATGTGTATAATTTTGCACAATATGATTGTGGAGGATGAGTACGTATATGTTGAAGAGGAATCTAATGATGAGGATACTTGTCCACAACGATCTAGGAGGGCCAGAGCAAGACAATATGAGCTGCAGGCAAGCATTACATATGAGTACCACCAAGATAGACAAACTCTTTCTCATTACATGATTCGTAATAATAGAGTTTGATCTCCACATGTGCATTAGAATCTCCGACATGATTTGATCGATCACCTTTGGGGGAGCTTTGGAGATAGTGAATGAGGTCGACAATTGTTTCAATGTGTGTTTTCTTTTGGAAGAAAAATATATTTGTGGAATTTCAATTTTTTTTGGTCACATTGTTAAAAAATAATAATTATGAAGTTATTTTAAAAGATTAAATGAAGAAAAGTTATCCATTTAAAAAAAAAATATTAGACTTAAACCATTTTTAAACAATTTAATAAAGTTGCGGATTTAAAATTTGAGTATGAAGGGTTGAGAGAAAAAAGCGGTTTGAGTCCGAACAAAACCGAAGTAATTACTTTTTGGATGGATAATGCCATAACGGTTTTTGTTTTCAAATGTGTCTTCTTGGCTTTCTTGGGTTTGGTGTTCAAAACGTGCCCCGGGTCGTTTTCTTTCGGGTTTGGGTTTCACTTACTCGACTGTAACTTATTCGAAAATTTGATCTTAATCGTCAGATTAATTAAAATTCCACGCCAAATAAGCGCAAGAGAGATTGATGATGCGAAAATGGGCTTATGGTTGTACTCATCCGATTTTATTTTCTTGATTGTTGACATTGAAACCAATGTTTTAAAAGGCGAGGCATAGAAACGAGGTGTCTTTAATTCACTATGTGAGGTGTAAGTCTTGAAGCAGTGAGGCGTAGAAACGAGGCGTCTTTAAGCCTTTTGAACATTAATTTCATTTGATAAAAAAATTATAAATAATATAATATAGATAAATTGTACTACTAATTCTTATTAAGCCAAAATATTCTATCAAATATAAATATTAATTGTCATTCAAGCATAATAATCAATCCCAAAACATAAAATACTTATTCAACATTAAAAGAAAAACTCAATTCATGACTCCCACTCCTCATCACGAAACATCAAATGCTATGATATTTGGCATTTATGTGTGGACTTGAATGTTGGGGGGGTGTATTCAATTAGGATTCTAGAGCGTTTAAAAAGATTTTGTTTAAGTGCTAGCTTTCATAGAACTTGATGGAATTTTATAATTCATATAGAACTTGATAGACTTTCAGAAGACTTCTGTATAATTTTTTAATAAAACTTTCTTAAGCTTTCATAGAACTTGATAGCCTTTTATTCTAGACTTATGTAGACAGGATATTTCATTTTATCCCCATCCTTGTCATTTAAAGAAAGAAACTTGAATTTTTTTCAATCAAATTTGTTTTTGTTACCCAAAGCAAAAACAAAAAGTACTTGTTTGCGATGGAAAAACATATGCACAATTCAAAATGAAAAGAATAAGAAGCAAAGTACCTATTTGACCAATGGATGTTGTGTCAACTAGAGAAGCAATTGGATCGGCTGTCAAAGCTAGTGCTGCAGGCAATGCATTTCTAATCCAAGTTTGTCCAAATTAAAAAAAAAACCTGCCCAAAGAAAAGAGAATCCAAGCATTGGTTGTCCAAATTGCAATAAAAAATATTTTGAATAATGGCTCTTGCAGGCAAAGACCACATAAATTCTGAACTGGTCTAGCTTGAATAATAAGGTTAAGATTAGCTGATGGATGAGAGTAAAAACTTTGTTGCTTATCGAAAATATATGTCATTGCTTGTCTGCTAAATTCAACAGGTTCAATGTTGTCAACGTATATAGCAACATTGCTATATATATATAAAAAAATATGAAATAAAATTTTAAACAACATGAAATAAAAAACCAAATTCATAACATCTTTTCCTACAACAACTTGAAATAAAATTATGTTTAACGAAAAGCAAAATTCACAAGAAATATAGTGACAAATGTATTACAAATTTGAAAGAAAAGTTTAAGAAAAATATTTAACGTTCATACATTATCCTTGATTCTCATTGTTGTCATTGTGCCCAACATCTCTTCACATATCCAAAGCTACACCAACTCTCCATTCATTAGCATTATGTCGTTGTTGTTCTTGTGTTTGGAAAACTAGTTCAGGATCCCCTTCATTAATCGGTAACGATGAAGATGAAGAAGATTCATCCTCCAATTCAACAGGAAATTCATCAGATCTATACTCTTTTCGAAGAAAATTCTGTAGTCCTATACAAGCTAACACTATCTATGTTTGCGTCGCATATGGGAATGGAGGTGCAGACTTGAAAATTGTAAATCATGACTTAAATATACCAAATATCCTCTCAATCATATTCGTCAAGGAAAAATTACGAAGATTGAATAACTCAACTTCATTTGCAGGGGCACGACTTTGACCACCAACGAGGTATTGATCAAAGAAAAAATAGGGAGCATACCTTCACGGATGGAGGAAGGAAGTTGTTCGTCTTCTGTTGTAGAGAGAAAAGTTAGGGCAAGAGAAAAACGTTTAATGAAAATACAATGGGGGAAGGTTGGATTTATTATGGTCTTTGTTATTTATAGCTCTCCCTTTAAAACATACGAAAATTTATCACTTAATGAAATCCTTCCAAATATATGACATTTCGAATACACCTAGATTTGATTCAACTTTTTTATAATCCTGATTGAATACACCCATATTTGAATGGACTTTTAAAAGTTCATATAAGTCCGAATTGAATACACCTAGACTTGTAAAACCTCTTTTAAAGTTTGTATAAATCTAAATTGAATACAGTCGGATTTTTAAAATCTTTTTAAATGCTTTATAATCCTAATTGAATACACCCATCTTATTTTTAGTGGATTTTATGGATATTGTGTTGTTTGGAAAAAAAAAACTAACATAAATAAATAAATATATATATATATGTATATATACATGAATCTAGTACAAAGAGAATTACATACAGGGATATACAGAGAGGTCCATTAAAATTGATGGTGAGAATTAAAAGTGATGCAGATTATCCATTAATGTATTTATTTAGAAGAAAAAATAAAGAGATTTTCTATTTAAACCCCACACTTCTCTTAGTTCACCCCATATTCTAAGTTCACTCCAACTTTTAATTTAAATTTTCACAATTCCTAAGAAAACCCCACTATCTTCCCAAACTACCCTTAAATACACCTCAAGCTGAAAAAATAAGAAATAAAAGAAATTTTCTATTTAAACCCCACAAGCTACCCTTAGAGGAGGAAGTACATTCTGCAAGCTCTAATGCTAATTCATTAATTTTGAATAATCTCTAGAACATAATGTGGTGTTGGAAACATGCTGAGGGTCATCTAGTAGCACACGAATGGCGTCCACTAGAATATGTGCTTGTTTGCTTGTTGTCCAGCCTCAAAACTATTTGCATATGGGGATTCCACGGGAGGCTATACGAGATGGAGGTGGCAAAGTATTTGCTGAAGCATGGCGAGGTTTTGACTAAGGTGACAATCTGTTATACCAATGATTTGGGTGTAGCAGAAGAGATGAGGTCACGAGAGGAACTTTCGAAGTTCCCAAGGGGTTCAAAGACTTGCCAAGTTGAACTTTTGGAACTCAAGTCCTAGGTCTTATGATATATTACAACATTTGTGAATAGGGTACTTTCTTTTTCGATGAAACGTGAATTTATTAATAGTTTTGGAGGAATTGGCGTATGGCCTTATTATATATAATCAGTTTTGCAAAGAAATTCACAAGATATGTTTATGGTATATGATCTGAAGAAAAAATAATTCAGGAAAAATAAATAAATATTTCGGACGAAAACTATTCAAACGCATAGACAAATAAATCGCCAAACTATATTCACATAAAACAGATTTATGCCCTTATCGTTCTTAATATGAAGAGTGGTGGGGTGTGTGTATAGATGTACTAGGGTTAAATATTAAGTTGGATGACCTTTTTTGTCTTTTTACACAATAATAAAACTTACAGCTTAATGATTTAAGTATTGGGATGAACTAAGAGAAGTATGAGGTATAAATAGAAAATTTCAAAATAAAAGGGGAGTATTGTTTGTTTCAGTGGGGGTTAAAAGACATGATGTTTGCTTTATAAGAAAAAACACCCAAAACGTGCGTTTAAGGCACTCAGTTCCCAAAAAACACTTTAGTAACTAGATGAAACGAACGACGTCGTTTCGTTAAAACAAACGTTAACCAAAAAAAATTCAAGCGAGGTCGTCTTCTACCTCGCGCTCTGGCTTGCAGACAGCGGCGCTTCTTCGCGCCTTCCACGCCTCCCCACGCCTCGCTACGCTAAGAGCGCAACAAGCTAAACATCCATACGCCTAAGGCGATTTCCCTCCGCCTCGCTCCGACTCGCGCTCCGAAGCGCTTTTAGGCATGCTTTTGAAAACACTGATTGAAACTAAGGCCAGGTAATAATTAGTTTGGTTTGATTGCTTAAATTTGTCTATTGATGCATAGATGGGTAGGTAAATTGGTTGGGTTCAGAGGTCCATTGCTGATTGAATTTTAATGCCTTGGTGTTTGAAAAATTGCCTGAGTGAGTGTAATACAGGAAAGTCATATCAATCTCATTACTTAGAAATTCTTTGAGGTCCCGGTGGAGCTGGGATTCTGGTGCTTGAGGTCCCGGTGGGATTTCCTTTGTGGGAGTGGTAGTTGGAGTGGCACCAGTGGTTGAGAGAGAGAGAGAGAGCTGGAAGAGGATAGGCTTCCCTTTTCGTGTGGGTGTTAATAATGTTTGCTTCAACTTCTGTAAGAGCCGCTTCTCGCTCTTCTCCGAGTGCTATAAAAAGGTACTCTTTTTTCTTTCACCCCTGTTTGTGGTATAGTTTGTGAATCATCTATTGGACTGTCATTGATCGTTCTTCCTAGAAGTTGTGTGATTGTAATAAGTGCCTTGGCATTATGTGTACTTTGCTCTTGTCATTGTTGATATCCTATTTCGAAATTTTAAACTTTTGATTGTCTTAAGTACAGCCTCATGAAATTCTTCACCTTTTTCTGCCTTACACTTGCTCCTACAATATGCTTTGAATTTTCCTTTTCATTTCAAACACCACTGATGACAAATCACGTCTATCTTTTATACAGGGGCTCTTTTGTCTGGTTCAGTTGTCTAGCACAAAATGTTTTCGATCTCTCCTTGCCAACCATAACACGTTTTAGACAGTCTCTTTCTTGCAATATGTGTATGCAAAGGCAAAGATACAGTGTATTGACGTCTTTCTTAGAAGTTCCATGTGTATCCTCCTCATTTGATTCTTCATTGGTGCGGAGATCAAATATTGTTGAGTGTCAAAGTGTTCTTAGAAACTGTCTGCCTGCTAGGTGCATGAGTAGTACATCAATTGAGCTGAAGACAAACAATGATGTTGTGAGGTTTTCATTTGGTAAGCCACTTGATAAAACTGGTTCCTCGACCAAAGGGAAGAAGATGGCCAAACGAGCTGAAGTGTCCAAGAAGGCCAAACTGAATGAACTGCGATTTTACCGTCTAAAGGCCAAGAAGAAGATGAATTCTCCAAATCCAGAAGTTAGAATTAGATACAAACTTGAAAAGGTTGGACCACTTTGTTATTTATGCATAATTTGATGCCACTATTTCAGGACTTGTTTTACGTTTTGGTGTTCCTGATCCTGTTATCGTTGTTTAATTGAGCTTTCTGGTTTTGTGTCTATCCTCTTAGGGCAGAGTTTGTAGCAGGTTTCAAGAAAGTTTTGTTTCTTACAAAAGAAATTGAATTTTTACAAATTTTCCCAAGTTTATGAAAAACCGTTTTCTCAGTAACCTTGATTCTGGTAACCACAGTTTATGGTTACGGCTAATATCTCTTTTAGGTTTTCTATTTTTCTCTGTTCATAAATTTCTGCATTTCCTGGGAGATGACCATCTCAAATGATGTAGGACAGAAGCAGTAGGCTGCTGTCAGATTGGTGTAGCAGACCAAAACCACTCTAGAGGAATTTCCAGCAATAAGAAAACATGAAAAAAGAGATAATAAGCAATAGGATCGAAGTAGGAACATCGATAATTGAGTCCTAAGACCCAAGAGGAACTCTGAATCTGATTTTCTGCATAAAAAGCTGTTAACAAAGCCTCTTGAAAGAGGATTTGTACTAGAGCTACAGCAGCCATACCATCCTAGACCTTGATTATTTACATAGTTACTTAATCCTAGCCCTACAACATACTAAAAACCTCACATGACTATTTACAAAAAATAGGAGCAGAACTCTAGTCTACCAGCTGAAATAAAACTTAAAAATAAAACAAGACAAATAATAGATAAAGAAAACAACTAAAACCCAAACAAGTTAGATGGCCCACTTAGCCTTGGAAAGCCTCTTAGATGCTCCTGCATCATCAAAAGCTGTAGAAGAAAATATTCTTATTTTCTGCATATGTTTAGTTTCCCAAGTACGTATGTTTACTTGACCTCTGTCAACTTGTGTATTCTTTAGGCAAAACGAAAGGAAGCATGGTTGATTGAGAAGTTGATGAAATTTGAGGTTGCCAAAGCCCCTGCTGATATACATGATCCTGAAATTTTAACTGAAGAAGAAAAACATTATCTTAAGAGAACTGGTGAGAAAAAGAAGAATTATGTCCCAGTAGGAAGGCGGGGAGTTTTTGGAGGTGTGGTTCTAAATATGCATCTGCATTGGAAGAAGCATGAGACAGTAAAGGTTATTTGCAAGCCTTGTAAGCCAGGACAGGTTCAGGAATATGCTCAAGAGCTTGCTAGACTGAGTAAAGGCATTGTGATTGACATAAAATGTAATAATACTGTAATTTTCTACCGGGGAAAGAACTATGTTCAGCCGAAAGTAATGTCACCTACGGATACACTATCTAAAAATAAGGTAATTTTCAGCTATCCTTAAATTTTTCATTTTTAAGAATATGGTAGTCAATGCATGAAAGTATTTAGTCTGGAATTTTTACATGTTTTAATTTATCTATGTTTGGGTTATATTTTTTTTATTTTTTATTTGTTATTTTTGTGAATGCCTGAAAGATATGGTGTGGTTGTTCACTTATTTGCATTACAAGGATGCATAGTGCAGTGATGGCTACTAGCTATTGTCGTATTATAAGCTAGCACCCCCAGGTGTGAGATGGCTTCTTCAAGTTAAGTTTAAGTTGCATCAGTAAATTTATTGGACAAATGGAAGAAGAGTTGCAAAAACTCAAATTAAGTTTCAATGGATATAATAGATATTAATATTATAACTACATATAACACTAGTTGAGTAAAGAACAGTAAATGTCATAGCTACATGAATTATTGTAGTGGTTCCCTTTCGAAGAGAATTCTTTCTGGCATGATCTGATTAGAAGTAAATATGTCCTTCAGGAGACTGGTGGGGATTACAAGGTATTGGTCAAGGTTGGGAGGCTTTTCTGGTTGTTGTCAGTTTATAGTTGGTAGGGGGCTCAAGATTTCCTCATCTTTTTCAGGCTATCTAGGGGTCCAAATTTTAGTGCAGTTTTTGTTGACTGAGAAGGACTGTTGTACTGAGTGGAAGTTGCTGTTTCTAAGTTTTAAAATGTAGATTAGGTGCTTAATCTTTCTACTCTTGCAGGTCAACTTTCAATTTAGCCTTTATATTTTTTCCTCAAAAAGAAAACAAAAATCTACTCTCTTTTGGAAGGTCAGCTTGTCTTTAATATAACGAAAGTAAATTGATAGTTCTAGGTTACCTATCGTGTTTGCTGCACTTTTTTTTTTTGGTCGAAGAAAAAATTGAAGATGTACTTGACATGATGAACCATCACCCCCGGAAGGTTGTGATTTTGAAAGCGGGTAGATTTTTTAAATATATTTTTTATTTTTATGAAGGCCAATTGAAAATTTGGTTTAAAAGGCTTTGATTCACACAAGAATGAAAAATAAATGTTACAGTTGCCTTTCTGTTTGAAAAACTGCAGGCCCTGGAAAAATATAAGTATGAGCAGTCGCTTGAACATACAAGTCAGTTCATTGAAAAACTGGGGAAAGAACTGGAAGAGTATCACAAGCACCTTGCTCGATTTAAGAAAGTAAATGAGAATGCAACACAAGATTCTTTGATCAACACATGAATGGTAAGGTATTTTTCTTCTGCCCCTTATGCCACCAGCTCATTGGTCGACGTTGGATTTGATGCTTGGTTTTTAGTTTTATTTTTTAATTTTATAAAAGAAAATACAATACAAAGCGACCTTGAAAGCCAAAGGTTTCCTGGCTAGAGCATTATACTTTTTACTGCTTCCAAAGCTTGGGTGTGAGCGAGCGAACCCTTATACATAACCATACTTCCACCGTACAACACCCTTCAGGCTTTTTCCTACACCATAATCCCCCCTATAATCAGCGACCAAATACCTAGACAAGATGAAAGTCTCTTTGAAGCTTCTCTAGACGCTAAGTCACAAAAATTGTGATCTTAAACGAAGACGTAAACATGTATGTAGCCTGGGTATTCTGAAGTTTCACTCTCTCCTTTTGACAGCTTGCCAGTTAAACCTTCTTGCAAATCCCAACTCTCCTCTGCAGTCGCACAAAATTTTGCAAGGGACGGTGATTGGCAAAAGCTCCAAAATCTGAGTATCTGAAGTGCTACCACAAAATCTGATATTGTGCCTTGCATGTGTTCTTTGGTCTCTCTCTCTCTCTCTCTCTATATATATATATATGTGTGTGTGTGTGTGTGTGTGTGTGTGTGTTAAGGATGTCCTTATTGTAAGAAAAGTGCATGCATCCTTCATAGGGCTAGGTCACAATGCATTTCAACGATCAGGCCATCTATATTTTAGGTTATACTTCAAGAGTTATCCCTGCAATCTGGCAGGTGCAGGTTATGAACAATAATTACAACGCTGAAGATGGTAATGCAAATGCAAGGAATGAGAGTGACTTGGGAAAAATTTCAGACTTATAAGCCACCCTTATTTAATGGGGCTCCTAGTTCATCATTAAAGGCTGAAGCATGGATCATGCAAATTGAAAACATATTTGATGCCATGGGATGTTTTGAGTGGAAAAAGGTTATACTTGCTGCCTTTATTTGTGCTTGAATGGGAGGGTTATTTGAAGATAATATTATTGCTTATTTCTAGTTTTCTGTATGTCAATTTTTTCTCTTTTGTAAGTTACTTCCTTATGGATGTCCTTGCTAAATTTTTCTCTTATGCCATTTTAATTCAACTTGGTAATTTTTTAATTTATAATCAATTACAATTCTAATTAATTTTAATTCAAATATTCAAGCCATTTCTTTATTTAATTCAAATCCCACCGAGCATAGTAGTAACCCAAGTAATTTCCTCTTTGGCACTGCACTCTTCACCAAATTTATAAAATTGAGATTCCATGCTCTTCGAATGGTTGGGGCTTTGCTGCAATGCAACATTCGTACAGTTGTAAAGCCAGGTTTTACATTAGAGGGGTCCCTATACAAAATTTTAAAAAATAATTTGAATAGGACCATTCAAGCACTAACTGGTTATTAAATTATTACCACACTTACTACTCGGTTTGTCCCACTTCATTATATCATTTTATATTGATTAGTATAGTAATATATACTAGGGGTGGTTGCGGTTCGGCAACCGTGAATTTTTGCTCAAACCGCAAACCGACCAACTATATGCGGTAAGATGATTTTTGAAACCTAAAAAAGCGGTCGATTACCGTGAATTAACGGTATAAACCGCAAGTTCTTTTTGTGTTATAAAAATCCAATCTTCCACATTTTATGTCTAGTTTTGATGCTTCTTTTGAAGCCTTTTGAGTTCAAGCATACTTTACCCAAAAATATAAAGGGAGTTTCACTAAAACACCCAAAATGGGGGTTGAAATTATAAAAAAACCCAAGCACTATTTAAACATAGAAACACACCCAAAATCAACCCCAAAGTCAACTTTTTGGGTGTGTTTATAAATGGGTTTTGAATGTGTGTAATGATGGGTTTTGGGTGTGTTTATATGTTTAAATAGTGCTTGGGTTTTTTTATAAATACATGTCCAGGATTGGGTTTATTTATAAATTTGTAAAATATAAATTCACAACCTAAAGAAATAAATTCACAACCTCAACTTCTCAAGCATATATAAATTCACAACCTCAACCTCAACTTCTCAAGCATTCACAACCTAAAGAAAAATCCAATTCCAAATTCCTTAAAGTTACAAACAAAAGGAAAATGCAATGCAAAATGAATTAAAGTTACAACCCAAAGGTAAAATCCAATTCAAAGTTAGTTAAAGTTACAAATGAAAAGGAAAATGCAATGCAAAATAAATTTAAGTTAGAATCTAAAGGAAAAATCCAATTCAAAGTTAATTAAAGTTATAAACCAAAAGGAGAACTCAAGTGTTGGTGGTGGTGAGTGGATTTGAAGGACTCGGTTGCATTGTTTGAGCACCAATGGTATCTACAAATAAAACAACATAAGTTTAGTACATTTTATTATAAGAAGAAGCATAAATAACATGAGCATAAATAAACTAATTACTTACAAGTTGTCATATGTTTCATTTACTAAAATGCAATTTTATTATTATTGAAAATATGATTGCGGTTTGCGGTAACCGCAAGTTGTCAACTTCATCAACCGCAACCGAAATTGCGATGCGGTTTCTAAAACTATAATTTTCGGTCAGTTTTCGGGTATTACGGTTCCAATGCGGTATAATATCGGTTGGTTTTTGCGTTTTTTGGTCTAAAATGCCACCCCTAATATATACCATTATAATTTTCTTGAATGCCATATTTTAAAATTATTGAATACTAATCTTATCATCTACACTATTAAAGACTATAAGGGGTCGTTTGGTACACAGACTTGGCTTGGCTTGGACTAAATTTAGTACTTTGTTTCATTTAATTCTAGTTTTAGATGAGATTACTAATACCGAGCCCACCAAAAACACATCCTTAGGAGGGGACTACTAAGCCCATGTAGAAAGAGAGGATTAACTAGTTCCATATTCACCAATGTATAAGATTCATATATTATATTGTAATACTAATAACATATATTACTACTATTATATTATTATTAATGTATTATAATATACATATACACACGTATATACACATATACATTATATGTATATGTTGTGAAATTAGAGAATTTGTAAGGAGAAATAAGAAGAAGAAAGAGACAGTATAATTTGCTCAAATCAACTTGTATTCCATTCATATTTGGATCCACTATTTATAGGAGTACATAGGCCTAAATCATTTACCAACCACAATTGGTAGGTTACAAGTATATAATGATGGGTATTATGATAGGTTAATAGTGGCTATTATTGTGGGCATCCATAACTATAAACCCATAACGTATGGATTTATAACACTCCCCCTTGGATGTCCACCATACAATGATATCATGTTGGACGTGCTAAATGTTGCCTCGTTAAAAACCTTGTCAGGAAAAACCACATGGGATAAAAACCTGATTGAAGGAAAAAAGAGTACATTGCACATACATCCGATATAGTAACACTGAGGAGTTTCCTCGATTGATATCTCCCCTTGATCTTCAACAGTCTGATTGCTTGTAAAGTCGTCGCATCCCTATAACATATACCAACTTATGAAATATAGACTTCAGAGGAGCTTTGGTGAAGAGGTCTGCCAGGTTATCTTGGGAACGAATTTGTTTGACTTCAATCTCTTGATTCTTCTGAAGCTCATGTGGGTAGAAGAACTTTGGTGATATATGTTTGGTTATATCACCCTTGATAAACCCTTTCTTTAATTTGAGCTATACAAGCAGCATTATCTTCATACATGATTGTCAGAGCTTTTGTTGTTGAAGAAAGATCACATGTTTTTCGAATATGATGAACTAGGGATCTCAACCAAACACATTCTCTACTGGCCTCATGGAGCGCAAGAATTTCTGCATGATTAGAAGAGGTAGCAACCAAAGTTTGTTTTGTAGATCGCCAAGAGATCGCTGTATTTCCACAAGTAAACACATAACCAGTTTGAGAGCGACCCTTATGTGGATCAGAGAGATACCCAGAATCTACGTATCCAATAAGATTTGGACCGTTGGAAGGTTCGTTCGAATAAAACAGGCCCATATCAGTTGTTCCACGAAGGTAGCGCAAGATATGCTTTATACCATTCCAATGTCTACGTGTTGGAGCTGAGCTATACCTAGCTAATAAATTTACTGAAAATGCAATATCTGGCCTATTACATTGGGCTAAATATAATAAAGCACCTATCGCACTAAGATATGGTACTTCTGGACCAAGTATCATTTCATCATCCTCTTTAGGACGGAATGGATCTTTATTTGTGTCTAATGGAAGAACTACCATTGGAGTGCCCAACGAGTGGGCATTATCCATATAAAATCGCTTTAAAATTTTTTCAGTGTAAGCTGATTGATGGACAAGAATACCATTAGGATGATGCTCGATTTGCAAGCCCAAACAATATTTAGTTTTTCCAAGGTCTTTCATCTCAAATTCACACTTTAAATATTCAGCAGTTTTAATGATCTCATCAGGAGTTCCAATTAAGTTCATGTCGTCGACATACATTGCTACGATTGCAAATCCAGAATTTGATTTCTTTATAAAAACACAAGGACATATGAGATCATTGATGTAGCCTTCCTTAATCAAATATTCACTAAGATGGTTGTACGACATTCGTCCGGATTGTTTCAACCCATATAGTGAACATCTCAACTTAATGGAGTACATGTTCCGTGATTTAGTGTTTGATTCTGCCAACTAGAGTCCTTCTGGGACTTTCATATAAATATTGGCATCTAACTCCCCATACAAGTATGCAGTAACAACGTCCATAAGGCGCATGTCAAGTTTTTCTGAAACTGCAAGACTTATTAAGTAACGGAATGTAATTGCATTAATAACAGGAGAATATGTTTCTTCATAATCAATCCCAGGCCTTTGAGAAAATCCTTGCGCAACGAGTCATGCCTTATACCTTGCAATCTCATTTTTCTCATTACGCTTTATTGTGAACACCCATTTATATCCCATAGGTTTTATACCTTGTGGTGTTTGAACCACATGTCTAAATACACAACGTTTTTCCAAGGAATTTAACTCAACTTGGATTGCGTCTTTCCACTTTGGCCAATCAAGCCTCTCTTTGCATTCATCAACAGATCGTGTTTCAATATCTTCATGACCTTTTATAATTTCAGCAGCTACTGCGAAAGAAAAAATATCATCGATAACCATTTCACCACGGTCCCACAATTCATCATTGCATACGAAATTTACAGAAATTTCTGTATTAGGTATCTTTTTCTCTTTAGTGGCTTGTGTCTTTTCAATGACACTTTCACTCTCTGGATGAATTGTAGGTTCAAGGTCAATCTCTTTCCCAATAATATCTTCATGAGCGTTTTCATTGGGGTTGGAATATGCTTTCGATTTTCGCTTTCTATGAGCTGAGTCCTTCGAACCAACGGGTCTACCTCTCTTTGGGCGTGCAGTAGATGATTCATTTGCTGCAACATTGGTTAATCCGATTGGGATATCAATCCTTGCTGGTGTATTTGCTGCAGGTATATGTGATTTTGTCACTTTTCATGTGCCAGTGAATGCATCTGGCATTTGATTAGCAATTTGCTGAAGGTGGACAATCTTTCGTATTTCATTTTCACTTTGAGTTGTACAAGGGTCAAGATGAGACATAATGGATATGTTCCAACCTAATTCACGTCATTCTTCAGGAACGGTCTTTTCTCCCCCTAACGGCGGGACGAATGTCTCATCATAGTGACAATCCGCAAAGCGTGTTGTAAAAGTATCTCCTGTCATAGGTTCGAGATAGCGAATGATAGTTGGTGAATCAAAACCAATATATATTCCCAATCGACGTTGAAGACCCATTTTAGTGCGTTGTAGGGGTGCAATTGGCACATAAACTGCAGAACCGAAAACCCTTAAATGTGATATATTGGGTTGTCTCCCAAAGGCAAGTTGTAAAGGGGAGAATTGGTGTTGGGCAATGGGCCTCAAGCAGACTAAAGTTGCTCCATGTAAAATTGCATATCCCCAAGTAGAAGTTGGCAACTTTGTCTTCAATAGCAAAGTGCGAGCAATAAACTGGAGACGCTTGATAA